TTTTTATAGGGTTGAACATATATAGTAACTAAATTAGACACTTTAGTATTTTATTTAGCAAGTTGTCTGCTAATTAAACAACCTCAAATATCAATGAAAAGTATCCACACATACAATTGACTAGAGCTTTATGAAATTTACAAAGTTGTTGCGCGTGAGATACCGACTATTGTAAATTAGATTTTTGACTAATGACTATTATCCAAAGGGTGGGCGGCGGACCCACCTTTAGTCATAGTGGGTCCGGTGACACAGTATTTTTTTTAAAAAATAAATATCAAAGAGACCTCTTATTAAAGATAGGGGGTCTCTTTGATGCTGCTAGTGGTAACAACAAACAATATCAAAGAGACCGCTTATTAAGATAGGAGATCTCTTTGATGCTGCTATTGCTACAAAAGACTTGGTGTGTTTTTTTATATATTAAAGAGACCTGTTATTTATATAAGAGGTCTCTTTGATGCTGCTATTGCATTTCACAATTTTTTTGCGTTACTTTCTTTTTCATTAAAGAGACCAGTTATATTTAATAACTGGTCTTTTAAGTTATCTCACTTTTTTGTATAATTTTTTAATAATTTTTTTTCCCTTTTTATATCTTATATTTGTACAACCAATTTTAATATTTCCCCATAAAACTTATCAATTAACTAAAAATCATAAAGTTAATTCAATATAATAATTTTATTGTACCATTGGTTTATAACATGTTATTTGTAGTATTTTCGACTTGTAAAATTGAATTCTTAAGTACTGTATTTGGTTGTGATATGAATTTTTGTGTCCTATTTTTGGATTGAAATCAATTTGGTATATGTATATATACATATATATGTATGTATATATACATATATATATATATTATATATATAAGTTTTGGATTGAAATTAATTATGAACAAGACATGGAAAAAAAAATTGTACTTTCACAAATGATCAATAATTGATGGTAACACACTATCTCGGAAATCCTGGATCCGCCACTGGCTTAATTAGGAGCAATTAGTAATTAATTTAATGGCCAATTGTTGTTCATAATGGTCATAGTTTGGACACTTTCAGCTTTCTTTGGATGGTTGCTAAACTAACATCAAATAGGTAAAATGTAAGGTGATTGCGACTACTGACTAATAATAACTTGTCAAGCCATGACTTATAGGATTGGGTTGTCGAGCTAGCCTAGTCCATTGGCCACTTAACGTGACACCATCATTTTACACTTTCATGTACCTATCTTCATTTTGATCTTTTATCTTGCCTTAGCATAGCTAAAATCATTTAAAACAATGGGGTACATTTAATATTTGATGCATAATGTCAGATATCAAATTTCTTAATCTCTAAGCTCAATTAGTTTTTATTTGGCAACGAGGAATAATATACAAAACTACTACTCGTAACTACTGAATTTAAATAATATTATATGCTCATGTTATACATTCAATCAATCAGATAATTTAATTTAGTCTAGGGAAGATAACTTGTCACAAAGAGTTGGCTATTTTATTTGAATAATGTTTCATATTATTGTCAAATTAAAGCAGCTAATCTAGTATAATACGTTCACTACTATGTTTTTTTAAAATAAAAGGCAAACAAATCATAAAATGTCTGATAAAAATACACTTTGATACATTAAAAAACTGATGTTCTTGACTTATTTTTCATTGTTCACAAGAATTTTATAATCAAATATTTGGTGGATGGTAAGTCCATACTTCATACAAACTCCCATCAAAAAATATATAGTATATACTAAAATTGCTATATGATGTTGATGAGTATATATAAATTAATTACAGTGTATAAATTTCATAATAATATACCTAAACATATTTTCTCTCTTTTTTCCCCTTCTTTTTCTATGAATTTTATGGTGTTTTTTTTATTGAAACTTAAATATATATAGTATATAGTTTATGGGCTGGCTTTAACTGCATTACTTGGACCAATCCCTACTTGTAACCAAGGAGATGTGCTACCATTAGTGCTCATATTATCTTGTTCACATAATTTTGCTAACTTCACCTTACTATCTGCCTCATCATCTGCATTATTAGGCATATTAGACTCAATAACACTAATATTGTTAGTGATCTTCTTATGATCACTTTCATTTTCGACCTCATTTTCATAATTAAGTCCCTTATCTTGGTGATGAACGTGACTCTCTTGCTTAATTTCTACATTAACACTTCCCCAAGATTGTAAGAGTATATCGGTTGGAACTCGAAAGCTCAAGGAGTTCCTAGGGTCTCTTTGGATCTTAAGGATGTCTTGGTCATTTGTGGCGGGGAGGTTGAGGTCCAATGCTTTTTGCTCGGAGATTGAGAGATGGGGAGTGAAGATGGGAGGCGGTGGCCTTTCGTGAACTTGCTCGATTTGATCATGAAGTTCTTGAAATCTTGTTAGAGTTGAAGTGTCCGGAGCATTAGAGGTAATCCAATGACATCTTTTGTGACCTCCTAGTGCTTGTCCTGAAGTAAAGACTCTATGACAAATTGAACATTCATGTGATTTAGTTTTAGGCCTCTTAGACATATTTGTTAAGGATGAACTTGATCCACCACGTTCGAATTGGTACGTGGTACACGACTTAGCCGGTCTCATGAACTCGTGATCACTACGGCCTCCTAAAGTGTCTTCCTCCCCATTATAGCTATAATCTTGACCAACTTGATCCATTTTCGCGGCAAAACACCCTTTGACTTTTTTATGACTAGCCCTATGACCACCTAATGCTTGATGAGAAGTAAACGTTCTACCACATGCCTTACACTCGAACAAGCCTTTAGGGTTAGTATTATTACTAGCCACACCTTTGGCTTTAACATCAAAAGGCGGTGGTCCTCTTGATGTCATGTATGGAGCTATGAAGCTCATTGATGAATGCCTCCTCTCTTCTTCCTTACTTGCGGAAGCACTAGACTCATCTGGATGCTCCACTACCACAGGGTCTACCGCGGCATTAGACAACATCATAAGACAGTTTGCAAGGTCTTCCTCCTCGCTAGAAGGGCAATTAGGTGTATAATTTTCAACTTTTGTCCTAAATGATCTTTTCCTCTTAGACCATCCGGAGGCCTTGCTCCCACCAACGTCGTCTCCATCGGATTCAGGCGAAGACAAAGGAGATTCAACATCATTAGGGTTACATTTACCATGATGTTCTATGAAAGTATTCCATGACAAAAATTCTTTCCCACAATTTTCACAAACTCTAGAACTTCTTAGCCTATTAGGGTTTGTTCTTAATGCATACATACGCTTATTACTCGGCGGTGTGTTACCTCCACCACTACCGCCTTTCTCCTCCCATTCGCTAGCCGGATCATCATCATCATCAAAGACACCACTCTCGTCGCCTATTCCATGAGCCCTCATATGACCTCCCAATGCCCTTCCACACATGAATCCTTTCTTGCAAATTCTACAAAAATGTTTGAAATTTGATTGTTGTTCTACAACCAAAGACATTACCTTAGAGTTTCTTTTATGAACAAAATACAAACAAATCAATAAACAATCTTAACAAATTAAAACTCAAAAAAAATAATCAATCATAAGAGAAGATTAGTAACAATATGATGAATGAATGGTTAAATAAAAAATTTATGTACATGAAATATAATATAAGATGTGAAATGATATTATAATGTAGTAGAAGTTGTATGTTTGTATGGTGAGAATAGAGGTAAGAGTCCTAGTTTTTAGTTCAAGTGTTGGTTGGTTAATTGTGGATGAGAAAGAAAAGGGAAAAGAGTGAAGTTGAGAGTATGTGACACGTGTAAGGAGGATGTGTGAGTTCTTAGCTTAGGAGAAAGACTTGTTCTTTAAATCAAGCTTATTCTTATAATTAATTTAATTAATTAAGTAGTGCTAATTTTTGCATGCTTTACTAATACTAGCTAGCTCCTTTTATTTATGGGGTGGAAATTCTAGCTATTTTGACTGTTTTGAGAGAAATTTTCGTTTGTCCATCCATTGAAATGCAAGTCTGTTTTAAGTAAGAAAAAGAAAAGGGAAATTAAAGTAGTTCAAACTTTTAACTGATTAAAGTCTATTCATATCCCTTAAAGTCCAAGTCAAGAAAAACAACCATTAAATCTAATGCTTCTCCATGTATATCGCTTGTTTTATTTGGCTAATTTCACTTTGTCGATCATATCAAGTTCGTTTTTAGGGTGTATTATCTTCGGTTTAATTTAAGTAATCAAACATATTATTTTGTTCATATTTGTAAGAGTATTGGGTTTATTGAAACTTATTTTATTTGTACTTAAAATCAAGACAATCTAATACATAATGCAGATATGTACATTATCCTTAATCTAATATGGTCCTATACATAATACATAAGATGTATGGAAATCGTGATATGTTTATAAATCATACTTACATGCCGTCATATTTGCATTCATTTTATTGGAATATAATACGGAGCATACGTATAGAAATACGGAATACAAAGGATAAATGATGTACAAGTACAATAGAAATATAGAATTAGATCGTAGATCATGAGTAGTTTTCGTATCACCCCAAACACTTCAACTAAGAAATTGAATAGTTGAACTTTAAGTTGTTAAAAGACAAGTCCATTAGCTGAAACTTTAAGAACTCTTAGGATCAAGATTGAGAGTAAAAGACTACAAATTTGTAGTTTGCGAGAAAGTGCACTAAGCCCAGTGGGCTTATTTCATTCAATGGGCCCAAAAAGGCCTACTAGGCCTTGTTTAGCATAGTTCAGTTGTAAATGCAAAATTTTGAACACGGTCTTAAAAGAAGATGTGCCTAATTAACTAATTTCACATTATATTTTACCTTTCAAGAAAATACAAAGTTTTCAATAAATTTTAAACATGGTCTTGCAAGAAGATGCATCTTATATCACATCGTATTTTACCTTTTTACAAAAAAAAAAAAAAAAAAAAAAAAAAAAAAAACAAACAAAAAAACAAAAAAAAACCCCTATTAATTTAACCTTTTTGAGTTTTACTTTGTGGTATTTACAAGTTACAACTAGTTACTAAATAAGAGATGTAGCTCCATATAAATTGTTGCTAATAAGATTATAAAATTAGTGCAAGTACATAAAAGATTAAAAGAACTATATTTGTCTTTTTATAACCCTTTCAAATGACACACATTCTCTTAAAGATAAATGATATTCAAAGTAAAGTAGTGTGACTAGTGACCACACTTTCAAAATATAAATGTGTACACAAAAGTAAAAGTTTACATTATATTTAGATAGATTCAACATTATAGGGGATGGTGGGAACAATTTCCATTCCACAACCTACATCCAACCAACATACAATACACACACCACTATATAAGCCACCTCTTATATATATCGGGGCTGCATCATCCTAATTTATAATTTTCGGAAAATCATAAACACACGTATGATTATACGGAGTATTAAATTAGTTATTGAAATTAACATGAGAGCGATAGGTTTGGCCCGGGTTCCAGCCCCTAGGGATGACATTATTTAAGGTAAGGGTGTCTCCAGATTGAGCTTCAATTAATTCCAAAGACAAAGGAGGATGAAGACCATTATCTGCATTGACCTCCCAAACTGCACCCCATGATTGTTTTAAGGGGATCCATTCACCTGATTGTTGCTTTAATTTCACACTTTCAATTCCTAAACCATCAGTATACTCGATTGTTGATGCAAAGTAGTACGGGTTCGAACCCGGATCCACTCTTACTTCCACGGTTACTCCCGGATAGTTGCATTTTACCCTGCACCAATTATATTTTCAAAACTAAATTAATCATTTAATTCTATATAATTATATACGATATACCATATCTATTTATATTTAATAATTTAATTACTTAGTTAGGTGCAAAAAAAAATTATTATTCTGTTAAATTGGTTCCGCAACCTCTCAAAGAGTCAAAGTCTTAGATTCTTTGGGGTCGTGAAATGGTTGTACAACTTATGTGGTATGTTATGCAATCGTTGTATAGAAAATCTTTCAAAAAGTGACATGATTGAATTAATTACTCGTCGTAGTTTCTTACTTTTGGTGTTGGATGTGAAGAACACCAGCATCACGTAGTTTTTCAGCTTGGCCAGGCTTAGCCATGGCTCCAAAAGCTGTTCCACTCAAATCGAAATGAGGTTCGTCCGAAGGGCAATCTGGGCATTCATCTGTTATCGTCACTGTCACTGGTTTTCCCGAACATGCTTCATTTTCCGTACATTTTACCTAGGTCAACCCAAAAAAAATAAATAAATACAATTTGTATACCATCAATTTTCTTATATACAAACACATATAGTCAACATGGGTGGTACATTTAATTTATTTATCCACTGGTTTTTTTTAAGGGGTCAATAAAAACACGGATTCTTGTAGTTCAAATTTACAATCAAATAACTAAACTCGACATGTTTGTATAAATAAAATCATCAAGAAGTTACGTTTAAACAATGTTATACTAACCTCGTAGCAAACTCCACATCCGTCACCAAAATTATATAATGAGGATCCAGCTGCTGTAACCATGCCAGAATACGGAGGTTTATCCACCGTATTCGTATATCCACACGCTCCACCTACGTACATATATACATAATAATATAGTTATTAATACAATAATAATCAATCTGTTTTATTTTAGTCTAAGATTAATTTAATTTGATGAATTAGGCATTTTCCTCGAAACAATCTAAACAAGTTTGTAACTAAAATAAAAATTATACGTCTTATTATTTATCTCATAAAGGTCGGTTACATGTTAGACAACCTGTATTAAATAAAAGAATATGGTGAACCATAAAAGGAGTAAAAAAAAATGTACCATCGCTTCCGGCGCCATCAGGACTTCCATACCAAGTAGCACCAGCAGGGGACCAATTGGAATAAGAGTCATGGTAATATTTGGACACATTCAAAAGTTTAGGGTTGAAACAAAGACAACTATTAAAAAGAAGAGCAAAATTCAAAACAAACACTAAAGAAAAGCGGTAATGAGAAGGAAGAGCCATTATTAATTTATTATGATGAGTTTAATTAATTACTTAGCTATTTAATAAGTATAAGATGAACAATTTAGTACTTAACTTTGTGATATAAAACTGCTAAAAACTCACTCTTATTTATAGTGAAGTGAGGAAGAATTGTGATCTTCGTCATCGTCTTAATTTAGCCATTAATTGTGGAAAATCAGTATAAGTCACCATCAAAACATTAATTAGAAATTTTGTGAAAAACTACCTATTATAATCAAGAATTTGCGAGAAACTACCTATTAAAAAAAATGTTGTAATTGACTACCTAATTTTTTAAAAATGTTGTAATTTACTACCTTTATGCCGGATTATGAATGAGTTTGACCAAAATTCTCCGGCGTTGACTTGGTCACGTGACACTTGGTGAAAGTTAAGGGTCATTAAGTGTCACGTGATGGTCACGTGACCAAGTCAACACCGGAGAACTTTGGTCAAACTCCTTCATAATCCGGCGTAAGATAACATTTTTCGAAAATTAGGTAGTCAATTACAACATTTTTTTTAATAGGTAGTTTCTCGCAAATTCTGGACTATAATAGGTAGTTTTTCACAAAATTAAAAATAATGCATGATAATTTATTTTTTTAATTATTTAATTTTTGTACTATCTAAAGGCTTCATTTTCTAGCATGTGCACATAAAATATAATGTTAGAAAGTAAACCCTAAACATGCATAACATGACATATATAATAAGATAAAATTATAGTTGTAGCAGCAAAGATGGAAAGTAAATCTTAATGACTTGACTTTAGTGCACCATATTCTTAAATTGATTTACATTTCCATGAAATTTGCATAATTTTCGCAATCTTTTGATTTCACTCAAATTGATTTTTGTACCCTTAGAAATTAAATGTGTGACATGATGTGATTTAGAAATGAACCTTTCACACCTCTAATAATTTACGTTTACCTATCAAATTGTGCATTTGAACCAAACAACTAATATTTAAATTGACGCAAGATTTGAAGGTTATTAGGGCAATTCCAACGATAGGGATATGGTTCGTGTACATAGCAGAATTGCCAAAAATTGAGGGATGTTGTCTCTTGTTTCAACCGATTAATTTGATTGTGAAGTTGAGTCTACGTAACCAAATAATGATGCAATACTATTTCGCTTGACACTTATCAAAATAGGTTATAGTGGATGGGATTGAAAAAAAAAAATTATATATAAAGTCATCATAGAATGATTGACAAGCGAAACCTATTGAAATATCGCAATCTAAAATTTAATTCTCCGTAGTCTTAAAAGTTATGATAGCCTAGACATATAAGTATAGTAACACTGACTAATCAAAAAGCTACGAGTACGTAGTATCTTCTATATCTTACCAGTCGTCTAAATCTATGTACTTAATTTTCGCTTATATATTCCTCTCTACTATTTTACCTCAAATTTTATATAAATAAAAGAATTAGAGCGAGTAATACAGAGATACTCCACATGTTGCGAATTATAGATATAACCTAACGTGAAATGTGCACGACTTAGTGAGTACATAGCACATAAAAGAATAAACGACTACTATGAATATTAGAGACCCTTGTACCAACAACCAAAGTCATTAAAAGCCGATCTTTGTAATTAATTTATAAAGAGTACAATAACACCGGTAAATAAAACAATGAACCCGATTTCTTGACAACATATCCAATCATCTTTTGTATCTTTATTAAACGCAAAACACATTTTGAACGATTGAAACAGTGATTAGTGAAACATTTACTGTAAAATCATACTTTCTCCGTTCTTTATTACTTGACCCGCTTTGACTTTTACACTATTCACCAACCCTCCTTTGACCGTCTTTTGTGAATAATATGTAAGGAAAAACATATTCATATATGATCTTTTTGGATTCTTCTCAATAAATACTATCATAATATATAACTTTTATAATTTTTACTTATGGAGAATTTAAGTTATTGATCATCAAAGTTTTGCATTGGCAAGCGTGATAAAAGAAACAGGTCAAGTAAAAAAGAACAGAGCAAGTATGATTTACTGTGTTAACAAAAAGTTTAAGCAATAAAATAACTTCTTAATGCAAAATTTTCTTACTTAAATTACGAAATAATGTTTGTGGGCCTTTTGTCCATTTAAAATAATTGATCCCTTTAATAGGGTGACTTGAGCCAAGTACGAGCGTACGTACTTTTTTAAAAAAAAATCTCCGGTGAAATTGCCGTTAATGGTGGTTATTGACGGTTGATAAAAGTGACATATATTTAAATTTTTTTTCCAACTTGATCTTTTCATATATTGTGGTAGTTGGTCTACTGAATAATGTGACTCATTTCAACACTAGATACAAATAGTCATAGTCTTCCATATTCATTGATAAATATTAATGACTTAATTAACCATGACTTCTAGTAGGACCAAGATTGTTTTATGCCTAAATTACAAATTAGCAGGTTTTCATACATAATTGAGAATTGTATTCGGATTTGTATTGTTAGTCAATCCAAATATTTGTGATGTTGATTTTAGTGATATAAGAGGCATAAATCTATTGTGTATAGCATACTTGATAAGTTGGTGTGTGCATTTTTAATAAATTTTGCCGCCTATTAAGAGTTTACATTAATTATATTTCAATTTGCAAATATGTTGTATATAAACTAAGGCTTCTATTGACCTAAATTATTGATAACAAAGATTTTTATTGGTATAATTATCCATGTAAAATTTTCAAAATCTTGAAATTTTATTGGCAATACAATGGCTCCAATTATGTGAATGAAGTAAAAAATGGAGTGATTTGATTTAGATACTAGTAGATAATAACAAACAAATAAGTCTTTTTGTTTGTCCAAATTTTATTGTTACTAGGGTGGCCAACGCGAACATGAATAGACATTCTGAGGTAGATAATTGTAGAGAGGTATGTGGATATGAAACATGTGATTTGCAAGCATAATTCAAAATGTCACAATTGTGCCGCAAAGTTTCATTGATAATCTTTGTTGATTTTCATACTTGTCAATGCACAACTTTAATTATTTAAAATATTGTGAAAATTCTAATAAGACACATTTAACATAATCTCACTTGACTATATTTTGCTAAACATATAAATCAACAAAAATCATCAAATTAACGAGTGTAAATAAAGAATTTATAAATATTGCAACGAAATTTTAACAGAGGAAGTTAGTATAGAGAAACTCAGAAACTTTGCCATGTGCCTACGAATACTTTATAGTATGGACTATGGTAAGCTTAACAAGAATGTCAACAAGCAATAATAAATTGGATCTTTATTATGGGCTTTATGGGTCACTATGATGCGGTATGACTTGATCCTAAATCAGCCCATGTTCTACATGGGCTCGTGGCGGCTTAGTTTGTGGGCTTGCTATGCATTGTTGGACTTTAAACATGGGCTTTGTTTTCTAATATCATGGGTGCAGTTGCCAAATCGTGTTCCCGATTGTGTGTATTTTTTTTATTTTATTTTATTAAAGACAATGATATTTACGAGTTTCGATTTCAAATTTTAGACATCATTCTATGAAATTTTAACCAAATTAACTATTTACTTCGTGACATTTATAGTTTCAAGTATATAATTGTATTTAACCAAGGAATCATTTGGTTAAGTATATTGAACGACTTAAGGGCCCGTTTGATTTAATGTAAAACATTTTCAATGGAAAATTAGTTTTTATAGAAAACATATCAAGGAAAAAACACAATTGCAAATTAGTTTTCCTTTGTTTGGTTGCATACAAGAAAAGTCCAAGAAAAATAAAAAATAAGAGTGGAAACGTAAGGATGAATGAGAGGGAAGTAAAAAAAGAGGTAAGGAGGAGAGAGGAAAATGTGGCTTCCCTTTTTTTGGAAGAAAAATGTTTTCCATCATTAGGCTGGACACATACCCACCCATACCTGGTGTGAATTAATTCAACTTTGAAGGAGGGGCTGAGGAGATTCGAACCCGTGACCTTTTGTGTCACGCTGGCTCTGATATTATGTTAGTGGACCAACTCAACTAAAAGTTTAAGCTAATGGTTGAAGCCCAGGTTTATGTATTATACACTATCACTACATTCATAAAACTCGTAGTTACATAATATGTGTGTTTGGAATAAAGAGTACTAGGGGAATTATTGTCAAATATTCTTGGTACTTTGAACAAAAAAAAAACCTTTGCTAATTATAGAAACATACTTAAAGTCGTTAAAGATTATTGCTTGATACGATTACAATAATTTTAAGGTATAAATATAGAAACAAAGTACATAAGAAGCTGTTTGGGAAGTACGAGCTAGTGAGCTACCTTCTTAGTTCCTACAATCTGCTAGATTCATTCTCTTTGCCTTCAAATTAACGTATATATTGAAGAATATACACTTTTGTTTTTTGGATATCAACCAACTTTTGATCATTACTATTCAATGTATATTGCTACATTTTAGACCGTCTTAATTAGTCAATATAATAATGTCTTATGGTCTCCTAATCATGTTATCTTTAACCATATTAGTTCTAATTACTTAAAAATGTGCTTAGGGGTTCTTAAAACTAATTATTTATGGCCATATATTGCCTAATCAATTAAATAATTACACAATAATATCTATGTTAGGTGAATGTCAGAGAAATGTGTATAAACTAGTTTTGTTTGATCAAAAGCATGGTAGGCATAATGTTGTGGCAAACAATCATTTTGGAGATACTTGTATATATACTAATACGATTCATATGAATCTGATTTTTAATTTAATCATTTTTTAACATAAGACTAATCATGTTATGACTACTTTTGTCTTTTTTTGGGGTTATGTTTTTTTTTTTTTTTGGCTAATCCATTTCTGTTATATATACAATTCCAAAGAAATGATTTCATAAAATTATAATGTTGAGTCCATAATAATCTAGAGATATAAACAATGTAATATAATTCTAACTTGGTGGCTGTTGGCTTCTTATTGCATGGTCTAGTGTTAAACCCATAATAGATTGAATAACAAAACTCAAAGAACTTTGTAGTTGATAGCTCAACATCCTTACCCGATTATATTATTCAAC